TGCTCCTTCCCTCCCCATCTGTGGCAGGGTCACATGTAGGGAAGAAAAATCCATCACCTGCTACCTTCCCCTGTTCAGCTCTTCCTTTAAGCCACCGTCTTCTCTTGCTATGGACCATTGCAACACCTCTGCATCCCTGCGACCCTTGTTCCTCCTAGTCTGTTCCCAACAGAGCAGCTAGGGTATTCTTTTTCTTTTTTCAAGAGGTTTTTGCCTTAGGGCACGTGCAGGGGTGGGGGGGGGAGAGAGAGAGAGAGAGAAAGAGAAATCAGTCCCCAGAGGGGAGATGGCCACACTGCAATCCCTTCTCCTCCATTCTCCTCCTGGGATCTTGGGCAGGAGCACAAGCCCCCAGCCTGACTTTAAGTCACCTGGTGCGGGACCCCAGCCAGCTGACTATGTGAGAGTACAGCCACGAAATCACTATGCCATCTGCTGCCCCAGGATATTCTTTATAAAACCGAAGTCAGGAGGCATAGTAGTTGAGGCACTGTACTCCCACAGGGTTTGAGTCCCAGACCTGGTGGCTTGGTTTCTCACTTTCCCTCTCTCTCTCTGGTGAGCACATGTGCCCTATAGCAAATTAAAAAAAATAATAATAAATTTAGCGTAAATTTAGCAGTTAGCGTAATGGCTATGTCGCTGAACTCCCACTTAGTCGACCCCGGTTCACGTCCCAGACCCGGTGGCTTAAACTCACGCCGGGCGCGTGTGCGTGCGTGCCCAAGATCCCGAGAGGAGAATGGAGGAGAAAGGATTGTGGCGTGGCCATCCCCCCCGGGGGTGATTTCTCGCTTTCTGTCTCTCTGTCTCTCTCTGTCTGTCTGTCGAACTCACATGCCCTATAGTGAAAACCTCTCCAAAATAATAATAATAATAGTTATAAACTAAATTAAATTATTATTTAAAAAAATAGGTCTTGTCCCTCTTCTGCTCAAAATCTCCCAGTGGCTGTACATCTCACTCAGAAGCAGTTTTTTACGAGACCCTAGTGATCGAGACCCTAGTGATCTGACTGCCTCTCTACCCCCTCCCTGTCCTCTCCCACCCCTCTGCCCTGCTTCACGCACACTGCTCCCCAGGAAGAACAGCGTGCTCCTGCCTCAGGGCCTTAGCACTTGCTGCTCCCTCTGCTTGGAATGGTCCCCACCCAGTCCTTTCTTTCCGGAGCTTTCTGTGGCTAGCACGTTCCTTCCCAGCACAGCAGACTCATTTCCCTTTCCCCCCTTCACTTTTCTCAGCGGCATTTATCAACAATGCTATATATTTATCTGATTTGTCTAGCTCCTCCCCCTAGAGTGCAAGTGCTATGAAGACAGAGGTTTTTTTAATGTATTTTTAAATAATTATTTTCATTTAACTTTATTAATTATTATTTTAAAAATTATTTTTATTTAACTGTTTTTATGTATTTTAATTTGATCAGAGAGAGAGAAGGCAAGAAAGCAGGCTGCCAGTTCCAGGACTTGAACTGCAGTCAGCCATGTGGGAGTCCAGCACCCTTAACCACCACGCCACCTGCTGCCCCCATAATTATTGTTATTATTATTATTATTACGTTTAATTTGAGAGACAGTGAGAGAGAGAGAGGGAAAGCAAGAAAGCAAACCACCAGGTCCGAGACTCGAACTGTGGTTGACCGTGTGGGAGTCCAGTGCCATCATCCACCACACTGCCTGCTGGCCCCAGACAGAGGTTGAAAAAAAAAAAAAAGAAAAAAAAAAAGCCCTCAGCCCTTAGAACAGGGCTTCGCACAAACAGGCACTCAGTAAATATTTGTTGAAGGAATGAGCTCATTCCCCTCTTAAGAATGAGTTGGTCACTTTCTCTTCCTGGGCCTTACTTACTTTTGTCACCTGTACTAGTGAGTTGGACACAATGAAAGTCCCCCTCGGCTTTGAGCGTCTCATGGTAGGAGGTGACCATAGTGACTCAGGGAGGCGGGAGGGAAGGCTAGAGAGCGGGACTAAGGTACCAGGGCCTGTGTGGACCAGCACGAGGCAGAGAAGCTGTACCTCAGGGACGTTGCCACCGAGTTCAGAGGTCCCGTTTATTCACATCCATGCCTTCCTTCATCCAGGAAGTGTCCCTGAACGTCTCCGGCTGGCCCCGGTGTTCCACCTGGGGATGGCCCTGTGGGAGGCTGGAACTTACAGAGCAAGACAAGGGCATCAACAGCGCTGCTCCAGCTGTGTGTGCCCATAGACAAGCCTGGACCTCACTGAGTATCTCACCTGTGAAATGCTCTCTCCTGTGAAGGGGACAGTGATTCTCCCCACCCTGCAGGACGTGAGTTAGACTGACGTCCCATGAGACAATTCCACTTCAAGCGTGTGACTCGAGGGACAGGAATTAACACCTAAGCAAGGTCTCAGTCCTTACAGTTTAGAGTATGGTCTTTTTATCTGACAGTTCCCTCCCCACCCCACCTTCTAGTTGTGTTTGGCTCTTGGTGGGGTCCCCTGGGATGGGCTGATTCCCCAGTGTTACACTTGAGCTGGCTTCCTCCCTGACCCCAGACAACCTAAGGAAGGCTCCCCCTCGTGGCACTCCCTGAAATAACAGGTCTCTGCGCCTGAGCAAGATGGGATTGTTGGTGTTGACCACACAAAGAGCAGGAAGAAGCTGGAGGAGGGAGAGTCCGAAGACTGGGGAAAGAACTGGGTAAACCTTGCCAAGGAAGTCAATCTGAAAACAGAGTGCTAGACCGGAAGGGGCCCCGCTCCGCCCCACCCCCTTTTACAGATGAGGGAACTGAGGTTCAGGGAAAGGGAAGTTAGAGGCAGGACGGTAACTTGGTTACCTACACACTCTGACATGCTGCCGCTCATTCCCAAACACAGGGGCCTTATGTGCTTATGCGAGTCAGTGAGTCACCAATGTGGTTACAAATTTTCTCTGCACCTGGCAGGCTCCCCCTGAGGGCTGCAGCATTTCTCCCAGGGCAAAGATTCCCAAATGCACCCAGAGTAGCTGGTATAACCTCAGAACTAGTCTATTTCTGAGCCAGAGAGCGGAGATAGACAACTCACCTGGATCTTTCTTCTCTTATTAGGGTACTGGTACAGGGGATGGGGACACAGTTAAATCCAGTCCTACTTAGAGATTAAAAATGACCAGCTCAATTATTTATTAATAATATATTATTTTATTATTATTATTTTAAAATTTGCTATAGGGCATGTGTGCTTCAGGGAGTGATGCAGAAAGGGAGAGAGGGAAAGTAAGAAAGCAAGCTGCTAGGTCTGGGACTTGAACCAAGGTCAACAATGTGGGAGTCCACTTAACCACCACGCCATCTACTGGTCCCAGTTTGCATCTTCTATTTTAATCCCCACTGCTATTCTTAGCCCATTCTGGAGATAAGAATAATGAATCATGAAAGGACCAAGAGATTTGGCCAAAGTCAGGAGGAACAGCAGGGACCGATCAATGCCACGCCTACAGAAGCCGCTCAGTCGAGAGCTGCCTGCCAGGACACTGCCTGCTTCCTATTGAGCTGACTTTAGGAGGAGCTATTCCTAACCTGAGGTCACCTCCTACCGTGGGGCAGATTTCTCCTGCCTGTCCTGGATCCTGGAGTCTGAAGGGCTCTCTGCCTCTCTGTCTCAGGCAAGGGGAGCAGTGGGACGTGGGCCATAGGCGTGCAACAGCAGAAGCGGAAGCCAGGAGGGTGTGTGCAGGGAAGGGGCGAGCTGCCTGAGCTGAGCTGTGGGGCTTCCATACAACCTCCCCGCTGGCCGGTGGAGGGGCCTGGATTTCTGGCCACCCCGGTGTACTTGAAGGCCACTGGGAAAATACTGTAAGCTGCCTAGGAGCCAGGACAAGACCCTGGTGTGTGTCTGTTAGCAGGGAGCTCTGGGGATGGCGGAAAGGCTGGGACTGGGAGTGGAGCACTCTCTGTTCCCAAGTGCTGCGTGACCCTTCCCACTTAGATATCTGAGACCTTGACTTCGGCTCTCTGAGTCTTGGTTTCCTTGTCAGTAAAATGGAGTTTAATAGTCTCTACTCAAAGATGGTTGGAAGGATTAAAAAAGTGAATCATGTAAAGCACTTAGGAAAACGCCCAGCAAAGACAAGGTGCTCAATAAACATGATCTGTTATTAGGAAGATCCTTCTGGGGCCAGCAGATGGTGTGGTGGTTGAAGTCCTGGACTCTCACATGGCCAACCATGGTTCAAGTCCTGGATACGGTAACTTGAAAATCATGCCAGGCACATGTGTATGCCTGCCCCCAATCCAGAGAGGACAGTGGAGGAGAAGGGACTGCAACTTGGCCCCTGGGGGGTGATTTCTTACTTTCCCTCTCTCTTTCTCTCTCTGGTGAGCATATGGACCACGTAGCAAAAATCTATAAATAAATAAATACCATTATAAAATAAAAAGACCTGCTGTATGGGTTGCAAGTTCAGATGAGCAGCTTTCAGCTTGGGGGCACAGCTCCCTGGGGAAGGTCTGGTTTGTTACATGGTCTGAGGAGGATGGAACTACACAAAGTCAAACTTGCTCAGAGTCTGTGGTGCGGAATGTTAAAACACTGCAGAAGTTTTGAATATTTCCCCTAAGGGATGTAAGTTTACAAGGTCTATTCCCCAATTCCCAGGACTAGAGCGTCCTAGGGTCCTAAGAGCCCTCTGGCTCTGACATAATGCTGTGTTTCTACGGTTGCTTTCTTTTTCTTTTTCTTTTCTTTTTTCTTCTTCTTTTTTTTTTTTTTGAGAGGGTTTTCCTATAGAGCCATGCACTCGCCAGACAGACAGAGAGAGACAGAAAGCGAGAAATCACCCCCCAGGGGGATGGCCACGCTGCAATCCCTTCTCCTCCCTTCTCCTCTCGGGATCTTGGGCATGCACACACATGTGCCTGGCATGAGTTTAAGCCACTGGGGCTGGGACTCGAACCATGGTCGACTACATGGGAGCCCAGTGACATAGCCATTACGCCAACTGCTGGTCCCTTTACGGTTATGTTCTAGTCCTGGTGTTCTCTTCATCCACAGAGCTCCCTGCTGATGAAGTCCACGGGATTATCACACAGAATGGTTGGCGACCCCAAGGCCAAACCTGGCAGCCCAAGACTTGGTGCCCAGAGAGTGTCTTGGGGTGAGTCCCAGCATACTGAAGAACACAGGCTGTCCTGCGTACGGCCTGTCCGTGGGGGCTGGCTGAGGGTGGAGGGTGAAGAGGAACCTTCGTGGGAGAGGAGCAGGCAGAGAAAGCTCCTTGCCCATCATGTTTACTGAACTGCACTGAATTATGACTAAATGCCAAGATCTGGCTTCAGGCAATTGCCTAAATCATTTAGGGGTTGACAGGGAATGGAGGGAGGGGACACGGGAGTGGGGGGAGAATGTTCTTGTAATTCTTCAGTCTGAGGTACATTAAGGAGCCATAAGCCATGTCGAGAGCTTGAATTACATTAGAGAGATTATCCTGTTACAGTTCATAATCCTGGATAATATACCGTCTTGGAGCACACCTGCCTGTGATAAATCTTGCCCTATAATAGCCTGACCCTGGGGACCAGGGCTGTGGGGGCAGCGGCAGGGGCTATCGGAGTGGACCTAGCATCCCTGGTGAGGCACCTGTGAGCTGCATTGTCCTCCTGGCTCATCCTTGTGCCCCTCGCTCCTGCCTCAGCCCAGGGGGAGAGGTGTAGCTGGGAGCTCCCAACCTCTCCATCCTCATTCAAGGTGCTTAGCTCCCGAGGGCCCCTCTAAACGGAACTCCCACCGCATGACCTTCTGTCCCTCCCTGCTCTGGTGGGATGGGCCGTTTGAATCCTGCCTCCAGGCTCTCCTTTCCTCAGTGCCTTCTTTTTAATCTCTCCAAACCCAACTGGCATGCCATGGTTCGGGGAGACCTCTCCAAGGACCCACATCCTCCTTCGCCCAGTGCATGGCACTGACCCCTTACTGTGAGTGGGCATCAGCTGCACCCACGGTGTCAGCACACCTTTTCTGAGTCTCCGTCTCCCCAGCTGGACCGCAAAGCCCACGGGGTCAGGAGGCACGACTCTCACTGCGGCACTTAGCACAGAGCGGTT